TGGTGGAGGGATGGGTTAGCCTGGTGATGGGTATTAAGGAGGGCATGAATTGCATGGAGCAATGGGTGTTATATGCAAACAATGAATCATGGAACACTACATCAAAACTAATGATGTACTGTATGGTGACTAACATAACATAATAAAAATAAATAAAAATAAAAAGAATTCCCTCAAACTTATAAAGGACACCTATGAAGAACCTATGATGTTCTTAATGTTGAACCACTGAACATTTCCCCCTTACAATGGGAAGAAGGCAAGAATGTCTACTCTCAACAGCTCTCAACATGTTACTAAAAGTCCTGGTTAGAGGCGCCTGGCTGGCTTAGTCAGTAGAGGACGTGCCTCTTGATCTCAGGGTTGTGAATTCAAGCCCCACGTGTGACACAGAGTTTACTTAGAAAAACAAACAAACAAACAAAAAAGACTGCCCTGATGACACTGTGCATAACTGACAGGGGTCACTAGCTGTTTTAGTAAATTTAAAAAAAAAAAAAAAAAAGGTCCTGGTTAGTGTGTAACAATAAGAAAAGGACAAAAATTGAAAAAGAAGTAAAACTGTCCCTATTTGCAGGCAACGTGATTACGAATGTAGAAAATGCAAAAGAATTAACAATAAGATTATGAATCTTTACTTTAGCCAGGTCTGAAGATACAAAGTCAACATATAACCTATAATTACAGAGAACTAATGGTTGCCAGAGGGGAGGTGAATGGGGAGATGGGCAAAATGGGTGAAGGGGAGACAGGTTTCCAGGTATGGAATGAGTAAGTCATGGGAATAAAAGGTACAGCATAAGGAATATAGTCAATGAAGCTGTAATAGGTTGTATGATGACAGATGATAGCTACATGTGCGAGCATATTATAATGTATAAACTCATCGAATCACGATGGTGCACACCTAAAACTAATATAACATTGTGTGTCAACTATACTCAAATAAAAAGAATTTTTTTAAAGTCAACATACAAAATTTTATTGTATGTCTATGTGCTAGCAATAAACAAATGAAAAACTAAACTAAAAAACAATTCTATTTACAACTACATACAATATAAAATACTCAGTAATAAATTTAACAAAAGATATGCAACACCTCCACCAAAAACTTTAAAGCACTGCCAAGAAAAATTAGAGACTTAAATAAATGGAGCAATGTGCCATTTTCATCATTGGAAGCTTCAAGATTGTCCAAATGTCACTTCTCCCCCAAAGTATCCTATAAATTGAACACAAACCCCCATCAGTTCCAGCATAATCATAATCCTTTCTATAGAAACTGAGAAGCTCACTCTAAAATTCATAATGGAAACATAAAAGACCTAGAAGAGACAAAACAATCTTGGGAAAACAACAAAAGCTAAAGAATTTACATTAACCTCAGGACTTAATATAAAGTTATTCAACAGTTCTCAACTGAGGGCAATTTTGCCTCAGAGGACATGGGGCAATGTCTAGATACATTTTTGGTTGTCATCACTGGGAGAGTGCTATTAGCATCTAGTAATTAGAGGCTAGGGGGGCGCCTGGGTGGCTCAGTTGGTTAAGCGACTGCCTTCAGCTCAGGTCATGATCCTGGAGTCCCGGGATCGAATCCCGCATCGGGCTCCCTGCTCAGCGGGAAGCATGCTTCTCCCTCTCCCACTCCCCCTACTTGTGTTCCCCCTCACACTGTCTCTCTCTGTCAATTAAATAAATAAATAAAATCTTAAAAAAAAAAAAAAGAGGCTAGGGATACTACTAAATATTCTATACTGCATGGGGCAGCCCCATAACAATCTGGCCCAAAATTTTAATAACGCCAAGGCTGGGAAACCCTAAACTACAGTAATCAATACAATGTGGTACTGACATAGTATAGTCAAATAGATTAATGAAACAATACAGATTCCAGAGGGTAACCCCCTATATCAACTGTCTGACAAATTTAATGGAGAAAAGTGTTTTCAAAAGAGGGTTCTAGAACAGGATATCCCTACGTAAACACTGAACTCAATTCAAACCATATACAAATATTAGTTCAAGATGGATCACAGACCTAAAGGCTAAAATGATAAAGCCTGTAGAAGAAAACATAAAAAGAGTATCTTCATGACCTACAAAAGTACTATCTGAAAAGACTTAAAAGCAGAATATATAAAAGAACTAAAAGACTCCTAAAACTCAATAAAAACTCAAACCAATTTAAAACATGGACAAAAAAATTTGAACAGACATTCCACAAAGACAAATGGCTAATAAGCACATGAAAAGTGGTTAATATTAACATTCATCACAGAAATACAAAATGAAAACCAGAATGAGAAATACAAATAATTCCACAAACTACATACCCATTCGAACGACTAAAATTTTTAAGACTGAAAACAAGCAATTGGTGAGAATGTAGAGCCACCCAAACTCTCATACATGTATTGCTGGTAGGTGAATAAAATGATATAAAAAGCTTTAGCAGTTCGTTAAAGTTAAGCATATACCTATCCTATGATCCAGTAATTTCATTCCTGGGTATTTATCTAAGAGAAACAAAAACACAAGTCTCCAAAGACCTCATAGAAGAATATTCTGCTTTAGGGGTGCCTGGGTGGCTTAGTCATTAAGCGTCTGCCTTCGGCTCAGGTCATGATCCCAAGGTCCTGGGATCGAGCCCCGCATCGGGCTCCCTGTTCCGCGTGAAGCCTGCTTCTCCCTCTCCCACTGCCCCTGCTTGTGTTCCCTCTCTCGCTGTGTCTGTCAAATAAATAAATAAAATCTTTAAGAAAAAAAAAAGAATATTCTGCTTTATTCATAGCCAGTATATCCGTCAACAAGTGAAACTGCAGTATATCATACAACAGAATACTACTCAGCAATAAAAAGAAATAGTTATTCTTGCAGCCATAAAGAAACCAGGCACAAAGAGTGTATATACTGTATGATGCCATATCACAAAATTCAAGATCCAGGCAAAAGTAATCTCTATTTAAAAGAAAAAAAGAGAACAGCAGATGCCTGGGGAACATGAGTGAGGAGCACTGGGATTAACTGGAAAGGGTTGCTAGGGACCTTTCTGTGGGGGGCAGCAATGTTCAGTTTCCTGAGTGAGGAGTGTTGTTACACTGATATAAACATTTGTCAAAATTAAGCAGTTTTGTGCATTAAAATATATGTAAATTTTATTTAAAAAAACGATTTAAAAAATCTAGTGGGGAGTGAAGAATTGATAGAGGTACTACCAAAACAAGAAAACAGCAGAACATTGTTAAAACTGAGTGATGGGCACATAGGGGTTAATCATACTATTTTGTCTACTTTACAAATGTTTGACATTTTTCATAATCAAAGGGTTTTTTTTTTAATTTCTCTTAATTCCCTCATTACTGGAGGAAGAGAGTTGGTAATCACGTCCTCCACATGAATTAAAATCTCTTCAGTCACTATTTAAACTTTCTTTTATATGCTCAATAATCCCTGTCCTTTACACTTTCTTTAATCTTATTCATCATAATTAACAGATCACCTTGCAATCTATTCATGTTTTCCCTAACTCACTTATTTACCACTATCTACAGGGAGGAAAGGGTTGGAGAGAGTTAACCTTCCTTTAGCCCATGCCAGGCAGTATGCTACGTACTTTGAATACATTACCGAATTTATATCCCAAAATTGAATTTAACATCTAAAATTTTAATCTTATTTACTTATTACTTGTCTCCCTCATCAGAATTTATGTTCAATGACAACATGGATCCTGTCTTGTTCATTATTTCTTCATAGATGGCACACAACAGATACTCAGCAAATATGCATAAATCAAAGTATTAAGGAATATAAATAACATCAGAGATCACAAATACTCAGTTCAGCTCTCTTTTTGGTGCTGCAAATCATTTCCCATTCCAGTTATAGCCACCTTGTTTTGCCCTTAATTTTACTGTCATCTATATCAATTGTTATGTATTTGTTTCAAGTAGAATAGAATGATCTGTTTGAAAACTTCATTTTCTCTTTATGAAAAAATGTAATCATAAAAATATTTAAAAAATCAATTTATATTTCAGCATATCTTTAAATGATTTTTTTAATGATGTGTGATTTCTGTATGCAGTGTTACTTTTTCTGCTCTTATTCATATGAATAAAGAAGAAAATCCTAATGCTTTTATAATCTCAAATTCTGTTACCATCACCATAAAGCTTAAAAACCCTCGCAAATATTCAGTTCCTTACAGAAGGATAAACTGTAGTTAATAACAGATTTATAATAAAAATGATCAATTTTACTTCAAAAAAATTATCTAACAAAACGAAGCATCTACATAAGCCTAAAATCAAATCATTAGTTCCCTTTAGTGCAAAACAGAAAATCTAGGTTTGTTCTCAGAGTACATTCTTTAGTAATCATTTGGGGTATGGTTTATCTTAGATTAGAATTAAGTATCTTAATATCCAGCAGTATCTTAGATTAGAATTAGAGTTCCACCTCAATTTTGAATAATTTCTTCATTCTTAAATATCCTCAAAACTTCCATAAAGTTAAAAAAGGGGTGGGGGGGACAAATCTATTAGTGGTATTGTAAAATACAAAACCTGAGTGAAATAGCTGCTAATAACAGCAAGTCAATTAAGACCAAGATTTCTCCTCAAATAGTTAAGCAAAATACTCTATCATGAAGTTGGTAATTGCAATGTTTCTCTGACTAAAAAACTTCTGAAAAGATTTTCTAACATTCTAAGGGAGAAAGCAAGAGAGAACTAAACATCAGAAGAAACAAAATCACTCACAAAGAATGACATTATACATATAAAATTCTATTTAAAAACAGTTCACAAACGTCTTACATATGTTTTTTGCCAGATTCAAATCCAAGTTCTTTCAGATGCCACTTTACGTTCATAGATCATACATAACTTTAAAAAAACATTTAATTCAAAAGTACCAAATGCAGCAAAGGGCTTAAAAATAGAAGTTTCAAAGCAAATACTTATTTAGAGACACCAGCAAAAATATCTGACCTTTTCAAGTGGCTTTCCCAAAGAGTTTCCAATCAGTTTCCAATCATTTAAGACTTCTTCAACTTTGGAAATAAACCTAGGGAGGAGTAAAAAAAAACAACAAAAAACTTTCTGAACATGTAACAACTCTTTTTTTTACTATTGTTACACAACTTCTTTAAAACAGTATTTTTTATATTTTAACATATTTATCAGAGAAGACTCAGTAAATTTAGTATTATTAGTCTATTTTATGGATATGGAATAAATGTGGAAATAATCTTCTCTAATCCAAGAATTCTTAAATTTTGATTTTTTGAAATAAATATTTTTTAGTAAACTCTACCCTCAACATAGGACTCGAACACAGAACCCCAAATCAAGAGTTCCAAGCTCTATTGACTGAGCCAGCCAGGCACCCCAAATTTTGACTTTTTTAAAGTCTACTTCTTATCCAGTTAAAGCATTCTGCTTCTATAAAATATAAATTAAGAATAAATCTCTCTATATTAAAATGAATATAAATTTGGAACAGAAGTAAAAACTGACAGACTAAAAGGATACTAGTAAAGATAACTATGAAACCGGGACACTTGGGTGGCTCAGTCGGTTAAGTCCGCCTTCAGTTCAGGTCATGATTCCAGGGTCCTGGGATCTCTCTGACAAATAAATAAATAAATAAATAAAATCTAAAAAAAAAAAAAGATAACTACGAAATCAATCATCTTTTCCCTACCTTCAAAATAACTAAGTTATTTAAATTAAATTTTCCTTTGAAGATACTTAGGAACTGATTTATCTCCCCCTCCCTCCCAAAAGAAAACATTCAGGAACTTTGCTCATTAAAATAAACCATGTTTTGGGGCACCTGGGTGACTCAGTAGGTTGAGCGTCTGCCGTAGGCTCAAGGTCATGATCCCAGGGTCCTGGGATCTAGCCCTGCATCTGGCTCCCTGCTCCATGGGGAGCTAGTTTCTCCCTCTCCCTCTGCCTGCCGTTCCCCCTGCTTGTTCTCTCTGTCTCTCTCTCAAATAAATAAAATCTTAAAAAATAAAATTAACTGTGTTTTAAGGGACAGCTGGCAAGAAACTACAAGGAGATTTGTCAGCTATAAGGAATAACTGACAGATTTTAAAACTAATCACTATCTAATCTTTAAATCTTCTGATGAAGCAGACCTATTAAAAAGAGAATGAATTTTGGGGCGCCTGGGCGGCTTAGTTGTTTAATCGACTGCCTTCGGCTCAGGTCATGATCCCAGGGTCCCAGGATCAAGTCCCACATCGGGCTCCCTGCTCGGTGGGAAGCCTGCTTCTCCCTCTTCCCCTCTTGTGCGCGCTCTCTCTCTCTACCTCTCTCTGTCAAATAAAATCTTTAAAAAAAAAGAGAGAATGAATTTTGACTAGTGACATGCTCAATATCAGCAAATTAAAACTGTCAAATCTCAGTAGTAGCATTAAAAGACTCTTTCAGAAGACTTTTATTACTCTTAAGAAGCTAACTTCTTACATAAGTATGATGCAATCTAATAGCAAAATTGCTCTCCTAAAACACCTACATCATATTGCTAGAGTAGTAGAGTTAATTCTAGTCAAAATATATTCACAGGCATCAGGTTTTTTCCTTCAGTGACATAATTATAAGTTAATACCTACATCTGTTGTAAGACAGTAACGATAGTAATGATAAATCGGAGTTTTTATGATTTAAATGAACCCTCTAATTAATTCCTCTTTAAAAGTAAAGGCAGTATTAATAAATATACTAATTCACTTCTGCGTAGTTCTGTCAAAAGGCAATTATTGGTGATGAAGATGAATACTCTAGAAATGTCATCATGTTTACCAAAAAAAGGAAATAAAAATTTTAAATGTATCCACATGTGAGCAAAAATGTGCATGTGAGGGGCACCTGGGTGGCACAGTTGGTTAAACTACCGACTCTTGGGTTTCGGCTCAGATTGTGATCTCAGCATCGTGAGATCAAGCCCTATACCAGGCAACGGGAAGTGTGTCTGTTTAAGACTCCCTCTCTGCCCCTCCCCCACTCTCTCTAAAATAAAATCTTTTTAAAAAATGTGCATGTGAAATGTACATTGCATTTATAAAGGTAAAAAACTGGAAGCCACCTAACTGTCCAACTGCAGCAAGCACCTATAAATTTATGGTATATCCACTGAATGGATTAGTATGCATCCATTAAAAATCATTTTTGAAGGCCATTTGAGGAAATAAGAAAATGCATTTCATATATGAAATGAAAAATGGAAGCTATAGAAATAAGTGTTAATATGTCTTGATACAAAATGTTTACAACACACAGATTAGAAGAAATTTTCTCAAAATATTAATAGTAGCTATCTCCTAGTGGTACAATTATAGGTTTCTTAGATTTTTTTTTTTCTTTTGAATTCTACTGTGAGGTATTATAATAAAAAATCTTTAAAAAAAAAAAATCATTTAGGGGTGCCTGGGTGGCTCAGTTGGTTAAGCGACTGCCTTCGGCTCAGGTCATGATCCTGAAGTCCCGGGATCGAGTTCCGCATCAGGCTCCCTGCTCAGCAGGGAGTCTGCTTCTGCCTCTGACCCTCCCCCCTCTCATGTGCTCTCTCTCTCTCTCTCATTCTCTCTCTAAAATTTTTTTAAAAAATCTTTAAAAAAAAAAATCATTTAGAGGTGCCTGGGTGGCTCAGTCATTAGGCGTCTGCCTTCGGCTCAGGTCATGATCCCAGGGTCCTGGGATCAAGTCCCGCATCGGGCTCCCTGCTCCACAGGAAGCCTGCTTCTCCCTCTCCCACTCCTCCTGCTTGTGTTCCCTCTCTCGCTGTCAAATAAATAAATAAAAATCTTAAAAAAGAAAAATCATTTAAAATAATATTGCTTTCACAGTAAAAGGAACATATCAAAATACTTATTTTATGATTTCTACTGGTACTAGCTAAAAGAGAAAAATCAGTCTAAAATATTGAGAATTTGACTAGAAAAAATTAATAACTATCCCAGAAAAATCTCAGGGATCACAGTCAAAGGGTCATTTCCTCTGACTCCTCACTCTGTATTAGATTCCTTTTTTATATGCCTTTGTAAGACCAGGTGTTTTCCCTTCTCAGGTCTTATTTCGATTGTAATTACAGACTCATTTGTATTATTATTTGATTCATGTCTGTCTCTTCCACTAGACTATATGTTAAGAGCAGGAATTATCTATTTTTATTGACCACACCCATATGTCCTGCACTGTATTTGACACATGGGCACTCAAATATTTCTGCAAAGGACAAAAGATTAAAAAGAGGGGGTTCTATTCAGTTCTCTCAATAAATTGTATGGCTCCTAACATATTAACAAGAACTTTCATTCACACATTAAACTCAAGGTTTAAGAGACTCCAAAGTTTTAACACTTTCCCATGAGCTGTAAAACACTACTTTAGCTCTAGAAACAAGAGGATAAAAGCCAAAAACCAAATTTCCTACTTTGTGGTAGTTCTCATAACTGTATTAACAATTATTTCCGTATCAGGAGCTAAAGGACTTAATATTGCACTTCAGGATATTTTAAATATTTAGCTAAGGGGAAAAAAAAATCATGTTTCCATTCCATACCCTTGTTGCTTCCTCACCCCACCCTCTAAGATTCAGGTTACAACATTTTTCTATCTACCTTCAAGACATCAAGTTATTATTTCAAATTCAACATGTCTAAAACTGCACTCTTCCCACTTTGCCACTTTATCTTCATTCTTCCAGGCAAGAAATTCCAGTGGCATGTTTCTTTCTACTCTAACATTTCATCAAGTGTATCTAAAAATCTTTGAAACGTCTTACAATCCTCCCGCCTAGTCTCCCTTTCTTTCCAGTCTCCAAATCACCAACCTAACTATTGATCAAAGTAAGTCACTTGGCTTCATTTTACCTAATCTCCTGTAACAACTCTCATCCTATCACTTTGCCACTCTAAAATCAAGGGCCTCTTTAATGGTTCTAAGTGTGGTCTCTTGACCAGCAACATCAGCCTCACCTGGGAACTTGCTAGAAATGCACATTTTTAGGTCCACCTCTGACATGATCAGAAACTATGATTCTGATGCACACTGAAGTTTGAGAATCCCTGGTCTTAAAGCACCAAGTCTAGAGATTCCTTTACTGAGCTTTGGAGGCTGTCCATGACCTGTCCCATTTTATTAATCTTATGTATTTCCCTTCAATAGATAGCCTTCACTCCAGTAAAGACATCTTCATGAAGTCCCAAAGGCTCATTTTCACCCGTCTCTTCTCATGTTAATATCTTCTCATGTCTAACCAACCACTTCCCACTTTCAAGGCCTAGCTCATTCCCTATCTTTTCTATGAAATTATCTCCCTTAATTGTGATCCACAATATCATCCTTCTTTAAATTATTATTTTTTAAAGATTTTATTTATTTATTTGACAGAGAGAGACACAGCGAGAGAGAGAGAACACAAGCAGGGGGAGTGGGAGAAGCAGGCTTCCCGCTGAGCAGGGAGCCCAATGCGGGGCTCGATCCCAGGATGCTGGGATCATGACCTGAGCTGAAGGCAGACGCTTAACGACTGAGCCACCCAGGCACCCCTAAATTATTTTCTTTTTATAGTTAATACAAGCTGGCTTACAATTTAACCATTTGCTGTTTTGTTTAACACATGGATCAAAGGTTCTGTTTTATCCTTTGTTCTTTTCCACTAGTTTAACTCTGGACACAGAATACCTGCTCAGTAAAGCCTTGCCAGTATGGTTATATCTTACAGACTTTTCTGTTTTGGAGGATACCACAAGTCAAACTATTATTCCAGCAGGGAATTTTTTTTTTTTTAAGTAGGCTCCACACCCAGCATGGAGCCCAACACAGGGCTTGAACTCATGACCCTGAGATCAAGACCTGAGCTGAGATCAAGAGTTGGCGGCTTAACCAACTGAACCACCCAGGCGCCCCTCCAGCAGGGATCTTTTATATTTTCCTCTGTCATCTCATGACAACATGCACAAATTTCCTCTCCCAATCAGAAAGATTATAAAACATTGGAACAAGCTAAATACTGACCTCCACACCCATAAGGATCTCTGTGACACCGACCAGAAAATCTCTCAATCTAAGCTATCACTCCTTCACAAAGTTGGCTTCCAACTAATTTCAGTGATAAAATTTCACTCAGCTGTTCAGTGAGGTTTAAAAGTCACAGGAAGGCTGGGCACATTACCCACTGGAATGTAACAACTTGAATCAAAGAGTTCCAAAGCCATCTGCAGCCTATCTTAAAAGGTTATTCTAAAGGACAGAATGGAGATGGTGGGAGTGTGACAGATGGACAACCACCAGTACTATGAAGGCCCCCTCCAAAAAAGGGTATAGCAATGCATAGGAGAGGAAAATAGCAACTGCCAAGTTTACTGCTTATGATAACAAAATGAGTTAAACAGAAATGAAACCAGGAACGGAAGTGGTAGCTACGGAAATTGTTTCTGCGGGTGGGCAACAACCAAGGTCTGAGGAAAGTGGCCTCAGAGTAAACAAAACTTTTTCCCAGAGCTGCATCTCAAGGGTTTGGCTGACGGGGGCGGGCCGGGGCTTGTCAGACGCTAGACGCGGAAGAGCCTTGCAGCACATAGGAGACAGGAGAAGATGCAGAGCCGGGGCTTCGCCGGTCTTACTTTTCCCGCATAAGTAGCATCACATGTGGTCTACGTTGGGGAAGCGGCAGGGGGACGCCCGGGGCCCACGGTACTGATAACCAATGATACGACTCACTCACCTTTCCCATTCCGAGGCAGTAGTGAAGTCCGTGATCTCAAATACCTCGGACTCGGGCTACGGTAAAGGAAAGGAAAGAAAAAGAGATTGAGCCCCCGGGCGCTGACACGGAGGAGGGAACTTACAGACAGGGATAGGTAGAGAGGAAACACCTCACCTCACTGTCGGCCGCCATCTTGAGGAGCGCCGGGAAAGGCGCTAGGGCTGCCGGGAAGAGGAGCAGGACGACAGAGGGAAGGAGGATAAGGAGGGCGGGGAGCGAGGGGGGCGGGGAGCGAGCGGGGGTGGGGGGAGCGAGCGGGGGCGGGGCCTCGGCGCAGACCCGCCCCCGGAGACACCTCCCCCTAGTAGTGAGTCCTGCCTAGAAAAGTCCTCAAAGGCTGAAATCATTTGATTTAAAAACAAACAAAAAAGAAAAACTTTGAATTTGAAATTTTCCTTTAAAGTAATGAATTCCTGAAGAGAACAGAAGCAAGGAGGTAAGACAAGGCCCTAGATTCCTGTGGATAAGGTTGTATTAAAAAACCTAAACCACATTGAATTTGTTTTCATTCAACCTCTATTTATTGACTGCAAGGCCCAAGGCTAGATGCTGTAATATCCACCCTCCTCCACCCCCCTCAAATAATTTACACAAGTTTGAGGAGCATGAAATAAAATCATTGTGCTAGTTACCTGGTTTCTGGGAAGAGCAACATACTGTTCAATGAATATTTCACTTTTTAAGCCACTGAGGAACAGAAGAGGTAGCAGCTAGATAATTATATCTCATACATACTGAAATGTATATCATGAAATGATACCATGTCCAGGATTTGCATGAAAATAATGGGAGGGGAAAGTGGGTAGGGCTAGGAATAAAACCAGATTAGCTATGTGTGGGTAATAGCGTAAGCTAGTGATGGGTACATGGCTGTTTATACTATTCTACTTCTGTTAGGTCTGAAATTTTTCATAATTAAAAGCAGAAAAAGATTAAGTCTCATTTAATGAGTTTTGCAACCCACAAGAAGGAATTTGGTAGAGGACTAAGAAATTTAGCTTCAGTGATAAAAAAATTTTTTTTGATCTTGTGATTCAATCAGTTAAGTGTCCAACTCTTGATTTTGGCTCAGGTCATGATCTCAGAGTTGTGAGATTGAGCCCTGCTAGGGGTTCCACACTCAGCACGGAGTCTACTGGAGATTCTATCCCCCTCCCTCTCCCTTCCCCTCTGCTCCTCTCCCCACCCTACCCCCACTCATTTTCGCTCTCTCTCTCTCAAGTAAATAAATAAATAAAATCTTTTTTAAAAAAAATTTTAAAAGGTTAAGATATCAAAAATTCAGTGATACAGATAGGGCAGATGAGGAAACGAAAGTCAGAAGAATTTTGACAACAGATAGTTATTTCCAGTGCCAAACCTTGAACCCCTATCTTCTGATGTTCCTTCTAGTTTCTATCTACTATACCAGTGGGGGATTGTGAGTTACTACGGCTCAGTCTTTCCCAAGAGGTCTCAACTTGCGTCCCTCATTCATTTACAAGCATTTATTAAACAGCTAACTATAAGCCAATCACTGTGCTAGGATATTAAGATGTATTGTAAATATAGACCCTTACTTCAAGGAACTCAAAGTCTGATAGGGAAACTGGAAATTCATCGCACAACAGAATGAAGAGGTGCTACATGTATCAGCATTAGTATTAGCAATGTAGAGGTCAATGGTAATCTTGACAAGAAGAATCTTTTTTTTTTAAAGATTTTATTTATTTATTTGACAGAGAGAGACACAGCGAGAGAGGGAACACAAGCAGGGGGAGTGGGAGAGGGAGAAGCAGGCTTC